GTGCCTCTGCGCCCCTCAGCCTGGGGGGGGGGGATGCTGAGCAGCGAGGACTTGGCGCAGGGCCCACATGTTACGCTCAGATGACGGAGAGAGGAACGATGGGGAGGGGGGGACGACGGGGGAGGCTGCGGGCGCCGGGGAAGACAGGACTGGAATTCGAAATGATGTTGACAAATCGGAGAAATGGCCTGAAAACAATCAGATACAATTCAAAAGGACAAGCGCCAAGAGCTGGGCTGGGGCGGGAAGCAAATCTGCCCCAGCGAGTGGAGGTTGAGCGGCCGGAGGGCAGAGCAGAGCCCCGGACCGGCAGTGGGCAGCAGCGTCGGCTTGGCCGAGTTTAACACCCAGGACAGTCCCGGGTGGATAAAAAAGGTGTGCAGAGGGTCGGACACCCCCAGGCAGGATGCACCGTGCAGGTGCGGTTATCTATCCGTGCAGAAGCTGCATCTCCAGATGCCCGGCAGCCAGGCAGCTGCTTGGAAAAGCATCCGGGAGCTAGGAAAAAAAACAGGAGGAGCCTCATTCATTTGGGATATGGGATCTGCCGGTTTAATATGGGATGTCTGGCTGCCCTGCAACTTCACGGAGCTCGGTGGAAAGGAGGACGTTGCTCAGGGCTGCGTGAGAAGGAGCATCATTCGCAAGCCTTGTGAAGCACTTGCTGGCGGCGAGGCCGCAGCGGGAGCCCTGTGCCTGGTCCGGGACCACGCGTCAAGAAAAATCCAAACTAATTGGAAAGAGTAGAGAGGATGGCAATAAGAGATAGTAGACTGGCTGGAGGCACTGGGGGTTTGGGTGAGAGCAGAGGAGGCTAAGAGGCTGCATCTGTAAACAAAATAACTGCTGTGAGCAGAAAGAAGGAGGGGGCTTTCTAGAGCATCGGGGTCCTGACACATCGTAGAAGGCAGCAGGGGTTTGGGGGAGTCTCCACATGGGAGAAGCTGGCTCACAGCCTGGAGGGGTGCTTGGTGGGACTGATCCTGCCGTGGTGCCCTCCAGCACCCTCGTGAAGATTCATCCCACCCCAAGACATAGACACTGTCCGTTTCTATTCTGAGTCCGATCTGGATGAGGGTTTGGTTGTGATTTCCCTAACTTGCCACCAAGCCGATGGACTGCCTCTTTGCTGTACCAGCACCCCACCTCCCACCGGCATTGGTGCTGTGTCGCTGCAGTGATCCCACCCACCCTGCGGGGCTGCGGCTCCTCAGCGTGGGCACAGGGGATCAGCCCCAGGGACTGAAGGGTACCATGGCCGGGGCAGCCCAGATGGATGGGGGACACAGGTGATGGGACAGTTACAACCCTGGGTGGGCAACCGGCACCTGCCCGAGGGGAGACCCCCAGCAGACAGCCCCCACCTGATCCCCTGCTGGTCCGAGCTGGCCGGGATGCAGATGCTGCTCGCTGGGCGCCCCCAACCCCACAAGCCAGCGGCCGAGTCTTCCTCACCAGCTCCACGTGCTCTGGAG